GGGCGGCACCCGGCCGGCCCCATGGGCACGGAGGGATGAGCAGGGCAGGTGGGTCCTCTTCATCCTCCAGCTGCATTTTCCTTCCCACAGGTGCTGCTGGCAGCGACCCACATCACAGCGTTGGGGTGGCAATGCTCTGGCTGCTCCGGCTGCGCGACCCGGCCCAATGTAAGGCAGCACAGGGTGACAGAGCAGTGCAGGGTGGGACGTGTCCATGCCCCTCTCCCATGGCCCTAGGGTGGGTCATTGCACAGATCCCTCTCTCCCATGGTTCTAGGGTGGGTCCTGGCACAGATTCTCCTCTCCCATCACCTTAAGGTGGGTCATGGCACAGATCCCTCTCTCCCATCGCCCTAGGGTGGGTGGTGACAGGGTGGTCCCTCTCCTGTGGCCTCGTGGTGGGATGCTGCCACCTCCCTGGAGGACAGGGCTATCCTTGTGTGCTGGCATGGGCTCTGCCCCACCAGGCTCTGTATAGTAGATCCCTTCCTCCCCCATCTCCTTCCATGCCTATCCCGGCTCCCTGGCTGTTTCTGCCCAGCCAAGTGGTGTCTCCATCCTTAGCCTCAGCTGCCCATGGCTGGAGCCCCTGGGGTGAAAGAGAGGGGAGTCTTTTCTCCCCTACCACAGCCTGCTGATCAACTGCAGATGTGTTTTGGAGCCTGCTGACTTTGTGTGTCCCCCTGCCCTCCACGGGTGCTCCCCACAGGCATTCATCTCCGCTGTGCTCTCCAAGCTGGCACTCCTGGGTGCTGCTGCCTGTTTCATCTTCTCTGGGGTGGGTTTGACCAACGGACCTCTCTGCTTCTACAACACCTCTGAGCACGGAGCCCTCTGGGATTACCCCTTCCTGGACAGTGGCAGCCAGGAACCTGATGCCAGGTGAGGGGCTGAATGGCCAGTGCTGCCTCCTCAGCTTATTGCTAATTAACTTGGTGTTAATCACGGTGGTGCAGTGGGTGGGTGTTTGCTGGTGGTGGTGCAAGACGCTGGTAACTCAAGAGGTCTCAGATTCCATGTGTTTCTATGTGGTGCTTTTCATCTCCATCACTGCCCTGACCCCACTCATCCTCGGCATGAAGGATGGGGTGTCTGAGACACCCTCCATGGTGGGAAGTGATGGGATTCCTCACCTACCACAGGAAGCATCTTGCATCTTCTCCCCTCCCTGTCACACAGGGCTGAGAACTACCTATACAATCGGCACACCTGGAGCATCTGCCTGGAGCCAGAGGGCATCGTGGCTTGGAACGTTGTCCTCTTCTCCCTCCTGCTGCTCGTCAGCATGGCTGAGATGGTCCTGGCCTCCATCCAGATCCTCAACGGCTTCCTCGGCTGCCTCTGCGGCTTCTGCGAGGGGAAATAGGGACTGGTGGCTGTGCCAGGAGGCTGCTGCTCAGAGGAGGTGTCACTTGGCTGGTGGCACACGCTGTGCCAGGGGTAGAGCAGGGACTGTGACACCAACCTGCTGTGAGAGCCCCGAGCGAGATGGACAGAGCCCCTAGGAGGGGACAGACACCCCAGGGGCGGAAGCAGCGTTCGTGGGGCTGTCCCCATGCAGAGCCCCTGCCCCTCCTCATCCCTGGAGCTGGCAGCCCTTTGGGGTTGGGTGGAGGTGAGGACC